TTCAATGTAGGAATTTTCAAACTCAAGAGTTTGATACACTACATGTCCACTGAAAAGTTCTACAAGTAGGAAGCCAACCCACACATATGGAAAATAACAAAGTTATCCCTGTGTCCTTATTGTTTTACATCATAATATCAATTATCAGGTTTCACCCAGGAAAGGGGATTCTCCTTTTTATTAAAACTGTGGCATACCAAATGCACAATGTGAGCATCTCTTCATCAGACAGCCCCCATCGGCAGCTGCTGATGTTCACTATAAGGGCATCTCTCGGCTGCAATTTCTCCGCAGCAAAATACAACACCACAAAAAATTACAGTTTTATATCTTTATGTTTAAAGCCTGAAATGTGGCAAAAGGTCGCAAAGTTCAAGGGGGCCGAATACTTTCGCAAAGGCACTGTACACTTAACAATTTAGAAGACAACCTTAGGTCATTCACCAAGAATTTTAAGTCTTTTATGAGGCCAAAACGCAAAGGACCAGGACACTTATTGACTTTCCCTCACGTGAGAAATATGTGCTTGTGAACTCTACATGTAACCAGATTCAATACAGTCAAACATTAATAAAACTCAAATTGTGTCATTTCATTCCATTACATTTAGCAGAATAATAAATCAAACTTGACAGATCAGATGCCGTCTTCAAGCAGACACTTTAGAATTTAGATTATCCAATGTGCAGAAATTCTCTATGGAATAGAAAAGGTTTTCTGCTTACCTTTTGTTTGATGTGGCCACAAAAGTGTCTGGCTGGAGACTTCTCTGATCCTCTCCGATGGTTCTTCAACCAGAACGTCTGTCAGAGCCAATGGGCAGATCTGGGAATCACGGCACCAAATTTTTACATTCAGTCGGTTCTTTTATCTGAAGGCCCCAAGAAGTAACACTCAGGAAACAAGAATCAGCTTTACGTAGATTTATTTTCTAATTTATTTATTTAAACATGCAGTTAGCATCTTATCTATAGTTTCCAGGATGACACTTATCTCTGCAATCAATTTATGCACATTTCACCAAGAAGACAAGAAATACTACTAGTTGACTCAAAGCTGAATATTATGACTATGATGCGTGCATAAAAGGTAGATTAATACTGATATATGGAGCTGCTAATAAAACACAGACAAATAGTCATACTGAACTTTTCCATTATAAAAGCAAAATAATACTGATGATAGGTAGAAAAATAACTTTAACTCCTGAAATCCAATCCTAACACCACGGAGCCACAGGTGCAATGGAGCGCACGGGGTGAGTGTGTGTGAATGAAGCAGAGCACACATCCCACCAGTGCGCAGCGTGCGGAAAAAAGAACTAGCGCCAGTGGGCGCATCACAGAAAAGATGGCCATTGGGGCCATATGTGATGGGGGAGGCGCATGGAGTGTGTGTGTGTGAATGTAGCAGGGCACACACCGCACCAGCGCACAGCGATCAGACCGCACTGCAGGGCACCGCGCGCGAAAGAATCTCTTCAGGACTGTGCATGCATGAGGGATAAACCTAATAGTGACAGCTCTTAGAGGGCGAAGCCTATACGAAATAGAACAAGGTGACTATGAGTATTGGGAAAACCGGGTGCTGATCAGTAAAGAAATGAGTCTCAAGTCCGTGGTTGAGGAAAAGGGCCAAGCTGCGGAACTGACCGGGTCACTGGCGATGAACGATGGCTGAGAAGGCAGAGGAGAAGACAACGGTGGGATGAGTGGTTTGTAGGACTGTGCATCAACCTGACTAGTGGGACTGGTAGAGCAATGAGGCGTATGGTCCGGAGAAAGTAATCCGTAGGGGAGGTGGTCAGGAGGGACTGGAGAGGTGTAGCGTGATGGCCGGGCAGAACACAAAATCATAATCTAGAAAATAGGCTAGGATAACTCAAAACAGAAAACACTCTAGCAAATGAAACAAAGAAGCACTGGTTATCGGTGTGGGAGCGAACGAACTAGCAAGGAAGTGTGAAATGGGTATAAATAAGGTGAAAGACTGAGTGAAAACAACTGGTGTAATCAAGGAAACGAGGGGCAGGTGTGTCAAGTGACATGATCGGGGATGGAAAAACACAAAGAGGGAGGTGCAGCCGAGCAAACCTGACACCAAGCAATAAAAAAATGGTAAGTAACCACAAAATCAAATACGGATTCAAACAAATCTTTAACTTTTTACTTGTTAAAGGTACTCAGTACTACAATGTCATACTGAGAGCATCAATTCAAACTCTGAATAAAAGAGTGATTTGCATCGGCCACAATAGGCCGAACTTAGGCCGTTTCATACAACAATGAGGTTTGTGGTCATCCTATTTCTCCAGCTGTTTTAACAATTCTTGCTAGTTTATTTTTAGTGGCCACTGTGTAATTACCAGAGCAGACTGTGGTACTGGAGACCAGGATACTCTGTTAAACTGATCTACACTCTTTACAAGACCTTCGGACTTCTACTTTCCTAATAACAAATCATCTCTGATTGGCTTTTTTGTAAGTGGTGTCAGCATTATTTATATAATTCAGTGTAGTGATATATATATATTCCCAAATACCTAAAACTATCAGCCACAGCCAGATTTGAAAACAGAATTTGTGTTGTAGGGCCTGTATAGTTTAAAATGACTCATTGACTAACAAAGAACAGGTTTTATACCTTTCTCATTATCAGCCACCTGGAAAATCGATTTGGCTTGAAAATGAAAGCACAAAAAGTAAAATACTATATCACCTCATTAAGAAAAGCCATAGGTGAGAAACATCTGTTTTAAACCAAGATTCATAAAAAATATTAAGTTCAAAGCTGTGAGTTTGTCTTTTAGTGTCCGGCAGAGAACATCAGGAACAACTCCAACACTCACCTGCATCTCTTCATACACTGTTTTCCTTTTAACTTTCCGTTTGTTTACTACTGTGTGTTTTCTCAGGTGCAGTCAGCTGATTGGCTGTATGAGCTTTGGGATTGGTTCTCTCATCTCATCCTCTAAGGTGAGTCTGAGACAGTCAGTACACAGAAAATTTGGAGCTCTGGCTACAGAGAAGTTCCTATTTTCACATTTTTAAATCTGTTTTATAAACAAAACATGTTCCTACTAGGGAGGAAGCTCATGAGTACATCCCGAGTCTCATATAAGCACCGCTCATCCCTCATTTATATCTTTTCCTTGTCTTAGTCCCACCCATGTAAGAAGTGAGGAGAGAGAGGACTCAATGAAACATGTTATCAGTGACATGAGACATCTTTTCCTCAGATCCTTTATCTGAAACGTCCAATATCTGATAAAAGGGCGCTGGTTGGTGTATCCTTGGTAATGGCTCCTACAGCACCGTCCTCAGTCCTTAGAGCCGATATGAGAGCTGGAATGTCCTACGTCCTTGGTTGACTATCAATTTCCAGGTTGACATAGGACGTAGGAACGATCATATATGAGACGGGAGATGTATCGCATGACTGACTGACCTATTGACCTACACCCTTGTGTTGCAGATTGTGATTGGTTGGTTCTACCTGCTGGGGGAGGAGTTTGGGCAGCGCAAACACCTGAGGGTGACATCGCAGAGGAGCAGCTCAAAGAGCAAAATGGATGAGAACAAAGCACCACACTGCGGTGAGTTTAATATCTCTAATGCCAATCAGAGCAATGCTTTGAACTTTTGGGAACTGAGGACACTGTTGAAGCTTTGTAATAATAATAATAATAATACTTTATTTATATAGCACTTTACAACCCGCAAAAGGAGCACAAAGGGCTTCACAGAACACATTAAAAAAAAAACATAACTAGCATAGCAGACCTTAAAAATAACAAGAAAAGGACATATCGACAAGATGGATAATAAAACAGCAGCAAAAGAGATATCTGGATTAGTTGTCAAAGGCCTGTCTAAAAAGGTACGTTTTTAGAGTTGCCCTAAAAGGGGCCAACTCGGTTATGGACTGTATTTCTAGAGGTAGCACGTTCCACAGCCTAGGGCCATAACGGCTAAAAGAGTGAACGCCCCATTTTTTGTGACGAGAGCAGGGGGTAACTAGAGATAGGTGGTCTGCAGAGCGTAGGGGTCTATAGGGAGAATAGACAGACACAAGATCCAAAAGATATGAGGGGGCGAGGCCATTAATAGATTTAAAAACAAATAAGAGCACTTTAAAATCAATTCTAAATTTCACTGAGGCATTGCAGTAGTCAGGTCTGGACGTAATAAAAGCGTGAATTGCTTTTTCTAAGTCTACATGAGACAAGAAGGGTTTCACTTTTGCTAGCATCCTCAAATGAAAGAAGCTGTTTATCAAAGTTAAAACTGCTGTCAAATATTACTCCAAGGTTTTTAACAGTGTCAGTGACTGAAGGGGTCAGGGCACCTAGCTTGGGTCTCAGGGTGGTCAAGTCTGGACTGAAAGCGATGTACTCAGTCTTGCTCTCATTTAGGTGGAGAAAGTTTTGAGCGAGCCAGAGTTTGACGTTACGGATACAGTTAAAAAGGGGAGCGAGAGCATTGGAATCACATTGGGTCAGGGGCATATAGATCCGGACATCGTCTGCATAAAAATGAAAATGAAAATGCACATTATGCCTTAATATAATTGGACCAAGTGGTAACGTATACAAAAAAAAGAGTAACGGGGCCAGGATCAAACCTTGAGGGACCCCTGAGTTGAGGGGTGCCACTGTAGAGGAACACTCCCCAATGGTGACAGAAAAGGTCCTGTTGGTCAGAAAGGAAGTGAACCAGCTCAGAGCCGGGCCTTTTAGGCCAGCATAATGTTCTAGGCGGGAGATCAGGCCCGTGTGATCAATGGTGTCAAAGGCTGCTGATAGATCTACTAAAGCTAAAATGACAGGCTGCTTAGCATCAAGGGCCAAAGCAATGTCATTGTGGACCTTCAGCAGAGCAGATTCCGTGCTATGGTGGGGCTTAAAGCCTGATTGAAATTTGTCACCAATATTAAACCAATCTAAATGAGATTGCAGTTGCACTTTGTGCTGATAACAATGTGGATAGTCCTTTTCTTCTTTAGCCTGGAGGACACAACATCCGTGATTTCCAAAAACTATGAAGCGTGGACTTGTCAGACCACAGCTCACTTTGTCACTTTGCATCAGTCCATCTCAGATGAGCCCAGAGAAGCCGGCGGCATTTCTGGGTGTTGTTGATGTATGGCTTTTGCTTTGCGTGGTAGAGTTTTAACTTGCACTTGTAGATGTTGTGACAAACTGTGTTAATTGACAGTGTGTTTTCCAAAGTGTTCCTGAGCCCACGTGGTAATATCCTTTACAGAATGATGCCTGGTTTTAATGCAGTGAGGGATCGAAGGTCATGGGTGTTCAGTGTCGGTTTACGGCCTTGCCTCTTATGTACAGAGATTTCTCTGTATTCTCTGAATCTTTTGATGATATTATGGACTGTAGATGATGAAATACCTAAATTCCTGATAATTGTACATTGAGAAACATTGGTTTTAAACTGTTGGACTATTTGCTCACGCGGTTGTTCACAAAGTGGTGAACCCCGCCCCATCCTTGACTGAGCCTTTTGGGATGCTCCTTTTATACCCAATCATGATACTCACCTGTTTTCAATAAACTTGTTTACCTGTGGAATGTTCCAAACAGGTGTTTTTTGAGCATTTCTCAACTTTTTTGTTGCCCCTGTCCCAGCTCTTTTGGAATGTGTTGCAGACATCAAATTCAAAATGAGTGAATATTTGCAAAAAACAAAACAAAAAAAACAATACATTTTCTCAGTTTGAACATTAACTATCTTGTGTTTGTGGTGTATTCAATTAAATATGGGTCAAAAAGGATTTGTAAGTCATTGTATTTTATTTATTTATTTTTTTACATTTTACACAATGTCCCAACTTTATTGGAATTGGGGTTTGTATTTAAATATGGAGCCCAGGAAGATTAGCAATTCAGTTCAATTAAATGCTATATGTATAGCGCCATATCACAACAAAAGATGTCTCAGGACACTTTACAAAATAAGGTCTAGATGTTGTTGTTGTTGTTGTTGTTGTTGTTGTTGAGGAAAAACCAAACAAATGCCACTTGGCAGCAGTGGGGAGGAAAAACTCCCTTTAACGGAAGAAATCTCTGACAGACCCTGGCTCTTCCAGTTAATTGTCAGGCATATTTCTGTTCGGTATTCAAGTTGAAATTTGATTGGCACTATTGAACTACAATATGAGCGAATTCTTCAATTACACATCCACACTATTTTCCAAAGTGATTTTAACTTCTCAGACTGCGGCAGCTTGTTTAGTAGTTTCAAAACGGCATCAGTGCCTGGCTAGCATTGCAGAAAACAATCTCGCATAATGAATGAAAAGGTCAAGTGGCTGGCTTGATATGGGCCAGCCCCTTTAGTTTGTCCTCATTTTGGTGTGCCAAGCAGAGGTTTTATTCAATGCTTCCCCCTGTGGTGATGGTGGGGGGAGATGTCTGTTATTAGATTATAAATGCTGCATTAATGCATAAGCAGCATTTTAACGGTTTTATTTCACACTGAAACTGATTAATTTTAATATGGATTAATCTGCTGCTAATGTTTTTTATTTAATTGTTTGGTTTTTAAAACTTAGAAAAAACCCAAAGTGACAAAACCCTATTACAACATATTACAAATAACTGACCAATATTAAATTCCTTAAAAGAAAAAGCACCATCTCTTTACATTTGAGAAGCTGTAACAGTGAAATGTTTGGTATTTTTGCTTGACAAATGACACCAGTGACATTGATATTTGCTGATAAACTGATACAGTTCTATTTGTATTTACTGTAAAGTCTACTCTGTAACAAAACTTCATATTTTATAAGCTCTTTACATTTTGTATGTAACATTCTTAATGTGTAAATTAATTCAGGCTGTCAGATAAATGTGCATTAAAAATAAGTTGCTATTAATTACCGTTGACATTTAGTGCATAGAAGTGTAAAGTAGCATAAAATAAAAATACTCGAGTGAAGTACAAGCAGCTTAGCTGACACATGCATGCTAACACATTAGCTTTGTTAGCTGCGAAAGACACGATCCATATGGTTGTATAGGAGGTGCAGAGAGAGGGACGAGCAAGGAGAAGTCTATATAGATTCAAATGGACTCCTGCTCTCTCTCTCTGCAGGGGTCCACACAGTTACCATGGTGATGAGAAGCTGCCCGGTAACCATGTGACCCTCACAATACCTCTTTGCCCCCACCCTCTCTCTCTCATCACTGTTTGCCCTCGCCAACTGAGCAGAGAGAGACAGGACAACAGAAGAGGAAGAAGAACAGCACATAGTGTTTTCTGTTCATCTGTAACTGCAGCAGCTGTGCTCAGTGTCAAGAACTGTCACTAGTACCATCAGCAGCATCACTAACCGATGCAGTAGTGGTCAGCACTACATGTGGTTTTACTTCGTCAGAGTTTCAGGATTTGAACTGGCAGATTCATCAACCACAGACCGAGCGGATTCAGGAGACGCGTCCTGAGAAGCTGTTTATTTTCTGAGGAGACTGATTCTGATGTTTCTGTGGAGCTCTGTTTACTTTTAAACTGCTTTAAAGGCAAAAACATTAAACTGGCCTATTCTGTAGCATAAAGACTAAAATCAGAGAACAGACTTAAATGAGGCCAGCGGTTTGATTCTGGTTTACAGTTGGAAGTTTGCCGGTTCCTTTAAAAAACATTTGTTTGTCCTTGTTTACATTTTCTGTTTAATGTTTGTTTTGTTCTTTGGAGCTGTGGACAGATTTCTGTAGATCCTGAGACATAGGCTCTGGAATTCAGTCTGCCCTGTGCTGGTCTGAGGGCAGTTAGGATGTTCTGGAAGACCATGGCATGGTCTTGGGATGATGCAGTGGGTGGTGATGATGATGATGATGATGGTGGTTATCTCCTTGCAGCAGACCTCAGGAAGACTCCAGACTCTGCTTCAGATACTGGCCTAAACCACATCACCACCACCTCTGCCACTACAAACAACCCGTCAAAGTGCACCACCTCCACCAATGGACCCAAAGGCCTGACGAACCACAGCTTGACCTCCGGTCGGCCCCTAGGCCTCGACCCCCCAAATGCCAACTACAGCAGCTATGTCTCTATCGTCTATGCCAATGCCAAAAAGGGTCACGCCACCCGAGACTACAGCAGCACCCAGAGACTGACGGTGAGTTATGTTCCCCTTAAAGTCAAACATGTAAATGTAAAAATGACAACTATATGAGGTTGGGCTTGGTCTTGACTTGTGATTTTCCTTTAGAGTTACCTGTCTTCACTTTGGACTTGACATGGGATTAATGGGGCCTGACTTTTTCTTTTTTTAAACTAGATTTAAGACTCAATTTGAGGGTTGAACCCGAACTCAAATCCTGATTTTGGACTTTCCTGCCTCAAGACTTTACATTCACAATTTGAGCTTACTTGTGGTTTGGTGTGTTTTACTGCTGCCTTGAGAGTAGCATCAGCTGCTAATACTAGCATGATAGCTTCAGCCAGATGTTTGTGGTGTGATCGTGCTAAATGTTTCTGACATTGCTTATAGTGCATGAATACTAGTAAGAAGGCAGACTGACTGACTTTGGTTTGTAATTGGAGGACGTAGCCAGCAGGAGTCAAACATCCAACTCTCAAAACTTTAGAGAATCAGGAAATAGACTCAGGACCTGCCACCCAGTGGGATCAGAGCTGTGGTGACATGCAGGTTTTCATGCTGTTCTGTGAAAGACTCAGAGATTCACGTGAAGTTTACATGGTTTAGATATGTTTGTACTGTTGTGAGGACTCTCACTAACCCTGACCATCTCAGCCAAATGCAAAGAGCAAATGGTCTAATATCACACTTTTCTATGCAATAAACAAAGCACTTTACACTATTTCCCGTTCACAAAGATGTTTGTACACCAGTGGTACCACCGGGAGCCACTTAAGGTTTAGTATCTTGCCCAAAGGCACTTAGCCATGTGGACTGGAGAAGGCAGGGATAAAACCACTGACCCCTACAGTTAGGGGACAAACCATTCTACATCCTGAGCCACAGCTGCACAAAAGTCTGGACTAAACTTGAATCTGAGTCTACTGTTTAAACCTGCAAGAATAATTAATCTAATCTGTTTACAGTTTGATCTATGTGTAAACAGGGATGAAATAACAGGAAGAGAAAATCAAAAACTAAAAAACATTGTCCCACAGTGAAGTGCATGAGATGTCAGGTGTGTTCTGGTTCCCTATAAATGACAAAAGATGCTGCTCCAGCCCATGTGCCGCTGTTGTTTGGGTGCTGCAGTCACAGAGGATCTACTCTGACACTTAACAGACTTTTCAAGTTAAATCCAGTTTTTTTAACAGTTATTAAGTTTTTATTCTTTAGTTTGAGTAACAATGAAGGATTAAGTTTTTTTATAAAAACAGTCACAGTAGAAAAAGCAGGATGGCAGCATTCACACTGGGGGGAGGGGAAGTGTTCAGGAAGTGTGTCTTATCACACGGATACATCCCATGTTTGTGGGTCTGAGTGTGTTTCCTGCTATTCTTCTGCTCTCGCTCTCTCTCTCTCTCTCTCTCTCACACTCACACACACACACTCAGTCCAATCTGAAACCTGGACCAGTTGAACGTGGTCAGACAAACCTGAACCTGGAATAAATCTGCTGCTAGACCAGAACCGACTTGGTTCTAGTTCCACCAGTGTGTGGTTTTGTGAAACCTGGACCTGTTTAGACCTGGTACTGGGTTAGATGGGTTTTGTGAATCCTGGCTTTTGATTCGACCTGGACGTGGCCCTATAATCCTGAGATGGGTAGTGTCTGGCTCTGGTCTTGTGAAGTCTAGATCTGGATTAGATATGATTCTCTTTTTTTGGACCTGGATTCAAGCTGGTACGTGGTCCTGGGTTTTGTAAAGTCTGGACTATCAATCTGGATTGGGATTCGATGTTTGTTTGGACCTGGTTCAGCCCTGTAGGAACACCACATGGACAGGCGGAGCTGCAGGATCTGAACCAACAACCTTCTCTGTTGTCATGTACACGATCCACCGACTGTGTCAAACCTGCATCGGACAGAACCTGCCTCAGGTGTGTGTGTGTGTGGGTGGATGTGTATCAACTGATTGATTAAATCTGATCAGTGAGACCGGCTTCATGTCTCTGATGTTTAAACATACAACACTTTAAACTAAACCTCAGGGTGAAATCACTCAAAACTGTTTGATCAGTTAATGACATTAGCTTCAGATGAAAACCTGTAAATGGACCTCTGACGTGAAAAGGCAGTGACAGTATTTACCTGTCCAGGTGAGTAGACATTTAGCCAGGTGAGGACTTATTTACCTTGTGAGGAGGTGTGGTCTTCTGTCCTTGCTGTGTTAAGCAGCTGCTGGAGGTCCAAGACTTGCTTCAAGACAAAGAGATGTATTTTACAGACAAGCAGTAGAATGATGCCCATGCAGTAGACTCCAGTAGAACCTACTAGAACTGATTAAAGAGCTCACTTTACTCTTTGTGCCGGTGTAATCGCTGTGTAGGTTTGTTGTAGTGTCGCGGTGGGGCATCAGTTTTCTCGTGACTAATCAATAAATGGGCGGTTTTATGAATAGAGTCTGGTAGG